GAGAGGGGGGCCTGGGGCTCACTCAGGGCCATGGTCTGGGGTCTCCCTGGAGGCTCCTGGTAACAAACAGCCCCTCCCTTTCTGGGTGCTGGTATCTATGGCAATGCTATAGGGCCTTTCTCTCCCCAGGCCTGCTTGGATTTCAGGCCTCAGGTGAGTGTTGGAGGTAGGGCCCTGGGTCTGGGAGGACATGGGTATTGTGGGTAAAGGACCAGCACCTCTGGGGACCCTTGCTGTAGGCTGGGGGTGGGTACCTCAGATCCTGGAGGGCAAGGGTGATAGTGAGGAGACCACAGAGAATGTCTGGAAACCCAGGTGACATGTTGTCTAGAGGTGTGACCTGCTGCTCTTCTCTACTCAGAAACACACAGGTGTGGACACCCACATGACCCACAGTCTGGTGTCCCATGGAGTAGAGACAGCTAGACAGACAGACACACACACACACACACACACACACTGGCCTCCTTGGAGAGCTGCCCCACTGGTGCTGTCTGGGGCTGTCAGACATACACACATGCACACGGGCATGTAAGGAGAGCCCCACAGGAGTGCCCACACATGGGATACAGGGCAGACAGCCCCACCACCCTTCTCAGCTCCTCCAAGAACATCGAAAATGGCACCCAAGTCTTGCCATGAGGCTGGAAAAGCTAAGGAAGAGGCTCTCCCATCTCTGGTGGACAGAGAGGCGGTCAGTGGCCCCCCGAGGCCCCCAGAGGGCACACGTGCAGACCTGGTGGCTCCCACATGCCCAAAGGACACCAAGCCCAGCTCCACGCAAGTGGCCTCTGTCACCCTGCAGTAAGGAGGGGAGGGAGAGGTGGTCAGTCACTCAAGCCAGGCCAGCCAGAGGGCAGAGCCTGATCAAACAGCTGGGGTGCTGGCTTTGCAGACTGGCCCCCGAGTCCCTGGATCCCCACACATTGCGGCTGCTGTGGAGGCAGCGGGAACTGGAGATCCAGGCTCTGCGGTATGCCATCCAGAAGCACCAGAATGCCCGGCACTGCCACGTCCTGCAGGAGGTGGCTGGGCTTCCATTCGAGAGGTCAGCAGCAAAAAGCTAGTCACTCAGCCCACCCTAGCCCTGGCCTGGCTCTAATTGCTGGTTTCTGTCTGACCCCAACCCCAACCACTGAGCCTGACCAAGAATCCAACCTGATCCCAGCCCTGACCCTTACCCTGACCTTTGCCTCTAGCCCTAGTCCTTACCTGACCCTAATTCCCCACCCTAAGCCTGAGAGTTGATATACTGTAGACCTGCCTAGACCCTAAGCTTGAACATGTCTGTGGGTGCCAAACTCAACCAGGACCCCAGCCCAGACCCAGGCCTCTCAGACTTGACTGTCCTGGCCCAGCAGCACTCTGTACCCTTGGACCCCTCCTGCTCCCCTCCTTGGCTACTGACCCAGAAGTGGGGGCCACTGAGATCACCCCTTCTCCCAGGAGCTCTCGCAATCAGGGAAAGCTCCTGCAGATCCAGGTCCAGAAGCTAACTCAGGAGTTGAAACAGCAAAAGGAACAGGCCCACCAGGTGAGAGGACCTGGGAGTTGGGCAGAGGTTGGTTTGGGGCGGGCAAGGTCAGAGAAGGCCCCACCCCACCTGCGGGCTCTCCTGGAGCAGGAGAAGGTGCACCTGGAGGAGCAGCTGGTGGAGACCACAACCTTGCTGAAGAAGGTAGAGGCCCAGCTAGAGGCCTTCCAAAGGTCCTGCCTCCTGCAGTTGGCCAGCTCCTCCTGGTTNCTGGCCTCCTTGGAGAGCTGCCCCACTGGTGCTGTCTGGGGCTGTCAGACATACACACATGCACACGGGCATGTAAGGAGAGCCCCACAGGAGTGCCCACACATGGGATACAGGGCAGACAGCCCCACCACCCTTCTCAGCTCCTCCAAGAACATCGAAAATGGCACCCAAGTCTTGCCATGAGGCTGGAAAAGCTAAGGAAGAGGCTCTCCCATCTCTGGTGGACAGAGAGGCGGTCAGTGGCCCCCCGAGGCCCCCAGAGGGCACACGTGCAGACCTGGTGGCTCCCACATGCCCAAAGGACACCAAGCCCAGCTCCACGCAAGTGGCCTCTGTCACCCTGCAGTAAGGAGGGGAGGGAGAGGTGGTCAGTCACTCAAGCCAGGCCAGCCAGAGGGCAGAGCCTGATCAAACAGCTGGGGTGCTGGCTTTGCAGACTGGCCCCCGAGTCCCTGGATCCCCACACATTGCGGCTGCTGTGGAGGCAGCGGGAACTGGAGATCCAGGCTCTGCGGTATGCCATCCAGAAGCACCAGAATGCCCGGCACTGCCACGTCCTGCAGGAGGTGGCTGGGCTTCCATTCGAGAGGTCAGCAGCAAAAAGCTAGTCACTCAGCCCACCCTAGCCCTGGCCTGGCTCTAATTGCTGGTTTCTGTCTGACCCCAACCCCAACCACTGAGCCTGACCAAGAATCCAACCTGATCCCAGCCCTGACCCTTACCCTGACCTTTGCCTCTAGCCCTAGTCCTTACCTGACCCTAATTCCCCACCCTAAGCCTGAGAGTTGATATACTGTAGACCTGCCTAGACCCTAAGCTTGAACATGTCTGTGGGTGCCAAACTCAACCAGGACCCCAGCCCAGACCCAGGCCTCTCAGACTTGACTGTCCTGGCCCAGCAGCACTCTGTACCCTTGGACCCCTCCTGCTCCCCTCCTTGGCTACTGACCCAGAAGTGGGGGCCACTGAGATCACCCCTTCTCCCAGGAGCTCTCGCAATCAGGGAAAGCTCCTGCAGATCCAGGTCCAGAAGCTAACTCAGGAGTTGAAACAGCAAAAGGAACAGGCCCACCAGGTGAGAGGACCTGGGAGTTGGGCAGAGGTTGGTTTGGGGCGGGCAAGGTCAGAGAAGGCCCCACCCCACCTGCGGGCTCTCCTGGAGCAGGAGAAGGTGCACCTGGAGGAGCAGCTGGTGGAGACCACAACCTTGCTGAAGAAGGTAGAGGCCCAGCTAGAGGCCTTCCAAAGGTCCTGCCTCCTGCAGTTGGCCAGCTCCTCCTGGTTAGGCCGCACGCTGAAGTCATCCACTGGCAGTGTGGAGGTAAGCCTGTGCCCCTGGGCCACCCTCCTGCCTCTCATCCCCTCCCCAGCACCCCTTGGACTTCCCCGACAGCCAGCATGCCCAATCCAGATTTGTGCTTCTGCTGGGGGGCTCTGGCCTGCTTGGGAAGCCTGTCCAGCTCAGGCTGTCTTCTGACGTTGGCCTGAAATAGGGAGAAACCACAAGCCTTGGGGTCTGGCCCATCTGACACTCAGTAAGTGTATGCCTCAGGTGCTGGTGAGGTCGAAGGGGAGAGACGTCTTGGGGGGACAGGTGCTCTTCTCCCCAGCCCCTGCCCGCTGGCCTCCTGTCCCTCTTGCAGGTGGTGACTGCAGAGAGCCTGATGGATCCCAGCGACCCCTCTGAGAGTGATGAGCCCCCCCCTGCTCAGGAGGTGAGCAAGGCCCCCCTCCTCTGCTCAGGAGGTGAGCCGTGCACTCATGGCTCTGTGGGAGGGGAGGGCCACATGCCTGTTGCTTCCTGGGCAGGGTTTCCGGCTGGAGGATGTGGACTGGAACACCGTCGCCCATCGGTACCCCAACCTCTTCACCAACATCAAGCCGAAGTCGGGGTACAGGTGACTTCTCTGGGAAGGGAGGGACTCCCCCAGGGGCCTTTGCTGGGAGGGCTTGCCTTGGCAGACGAGGACCTGAGTCCAAGTTCCACCCTTACTGTCCCTGGACAAGTCACTCAAACCTTGCAAAAGTCAGTTACCTGATCTCTAGAACAGGGTAGGGGCGCGGGGAAGGGTTCCTGGGCCATCTCTGTCCTGCCATGGGCCCTTTTCCCAGGCTGGGTCCTAGGGACCTGGGCCACAACTTGGGGTGCCACGCCCCCCTTGGGGAGGCTATCTGGGAGCAGGGCTGGGTCCAGAAACAGGGTAGCCAAGCAGCCAGTGAGCAGACTGTGGCCTGCAGGCACTCCTGGCCCCGGCATCCCCCACCATCCCCACTGGTCTCATCACCTGACAAATGTGTCTCAGACCCGAGCAGTCGGCAGGTGAAACATCACTTCAAGAGTGTGGAGTGGACAACCCTGCCCATCGTGGGCACCAGCAGCTCCGGGGGCGTTGATTCTGACTCCAGCTGGCCAGATGAGCGGTTTGGCCTGCGGAAGGTGACAGGGCACCCACCCCAGGCGCCCGGCCACATTTCCTTCCAGCAGATGGAGTTGGGCGCCAGGAGCTTCAGCAGGGACTCGAAGGCAGAGCCTGAAGGTGGAATGGGGCGGGTCTCCCTGGCTCCTTCTGCCCTGCAGGGCTGTGATCTCTGCCCAATGCCCTAAAGGCGGTCCCCCAACTGCCTGGCCTTCACTGTAGCCCTGAGGGAGGCTCCTGGGACTTCTCTGGCCTCATCTGTGGGCATTGGGGTGGTCTTGGAGGCCTCTGTACTCTGGCTCAACCCCCCCAAGTACTACAAGCTACCCTTCTGCTCCCCTCGGCCCCCAGGGTCCAGCCACCCCTCCTGCCCTAGATCTGGTCCCTGGCACTGTTCGTCTTCCATGTGGACACCCAGGGGCTGCAGGCCAGTTGGCCTCGCAGGAGATGTCCCTAGAGGATGCTCCATACGGGGTCCCCCTCCCGAACAGGACTCTCTCCGGATCTCCGGGAAACCCACTCAGACCAGCCGGGCAAGTCCCTCCTGGTGCACGAGTCCAGTACAGATTCGGACCGCGGGCAGCCGGCGCGCCCGTGGAGGTGCGGGAGTGACGCAGCTCAGCCGAGTGCGGCTCA